ACATGATCCAGAATTACGGTCTGGTGTCCCTAATAATTGTATGTGGGATTTTTTTGACATGTCTAAGTTATAATCCTTATCATATTTATTAATAATATATGTATTTAAATTTCAATATTGAAATTCAAATACATACATTAATTTTATACATGCGTTAATTATTACTAAATAGTTATAATTAGAACAAGTAACCAAAACTTGACCGTAAAAATTTTTAAAAACATCAACTCAACACTGTTTTTAAAAGCTTTAGAACAGCTTACTGTAAAACTTAATTCTTAGTACTAACTATTGTTTTAGTAAAGAAATGACTGGATAACTGAAACAAAATATTCGCTTAAACAAACCTTTATTACACACCAAAAACACTGACGCCAAAATAACAAAAGAAAATATATAACGCCAAAGTTGAGCAAATATAACAATACACCTTTTTACAGTTCCGTTATAAAATTTATGCGCACGCAGAAAAGGAAATAAAAACAAACATTATTTCAACGGTTTAAGTTATAGAGATTTATAATGGAAAAAATATAAATACTGAACCTATACCTTATTGAAGTTTCAAGAGATCGAAAATATGCTCTCTCATCGATTGTAAAAATAACGAGTACAATCTAGAAATGTGAAATAATGACTTATGTATGATGCAAAATGTTAAACGAAGCTCTAATTTGTGAAACTGCAAACTACCATTTGAGTAAGCATTTTTTATCGATAATCAACAAACACACAGATATGTAACAATATAAAAACAACTACAGCTCAAAGAAATATAGAGAAAAGTAATTAACCGTTCAACTCCTACATTATTGCGTTATAGTAAATTATTTACCATAAAATATAAAACTAGAGTATGTTTAGACAATTTTCCTGACAGAGCATTATCGTTTAAAAATCGACATTTTTTGTTCAACTTAGGCTGCAATGCTCAAAGACTTATATATTATTTAATGTAAATAATACAAATTTTTCAAACAATGAACATCAGATTATGTTGAATTTAATGTTAAGTGTTGTTTTATAATAGAGCATCAAGAATTAAAAAAGGAAATTGATAACTTATAAAAAAAACTTCAGCACAAAATTAAAATAATAAAGATTTATTTGAAAAATTAACTTCAATCACATCAGTTATTACTATAAAACAAATTTTATGCAAACATAATCCAAACAAATTGTGTTTTTGCAATTTGCTTGTTTACAAACATTTATTTGAAAAATGAAAGACCTTACTACTTTTAGACTGGCCTTACATCTGTCAATGTGTTTTATCAGTAAGTGCAGTTTCACCGCTATTCAAAAGAAGATAAAGTGATATTAAAGAACATCTACTTCTATTTTTTGAAATTTAAAAAGACCCTTAACTACTTAGACCAAAAAAAATTTTATGCAGCAAAGATGGAATTTTAATGATATATTAATAATACTTTATGATATATTAATAATTTTAATAATACTTGGATTACTGACAACTGATCTTGCTTATAGGTTTGATATAGCCTTAGGATTAGCAAATGCATTATTTTCTTTATGGTTGAAAACTTCTAGCTCACTTTTAAAGCACATGGTTTTTGTTCCAAGTAAAGATGTTATAAAAGTAGGCAATGCAAAACAGATTTAAGAAATTAAATTATATAGACTTACACTAAATTTTAGATATAACAAAGTTTATTATGAAAACATCTAAAAGTTTTGACTTACAGAAACTAAAAAGGAGTGAATTCAAACATTACAACAATATAAAAACAATAGTACCAATAGCTCAGAATTCATCAATAATTTCATTAAATAATTTTCAAAGCTAACACAAGCAAAGTTTTGGATAAAGAAATTACAAATCGCAACAAATGTTTAGATTGTATTCTAAAATACTTATATGCAATGTATGATTAAGGTTTTAATATCAACATTGATGTTCTGAACGTTACATCAACCACACAGTTATCTCTGGTTAGAAAGGTGCAGCTCAAATACTTGATAAATGACAATAAAAAATAAAAAAATAAAAAAATTAGAAAGAAATTGCTAACTTAAGGATATTGATTGAACAAGTTATTAGAAGGCCAAAGATATTATTGTACTATATATGTTATGTTATTGTTACTATAAATATTGTACTAGAAGTACAATTTATAGAAAAATATATAGAAATTTTTTTCCTGTGTATAGTTATCTATTTTATATCATAACTTATTTGTATACTTAAAAGTTAGCTTTTGGTAAACAAGTTTAGTAAAGAAATTTAAATATAATTTTGCGATTTTGCTATTTTAATTTTATTTATATTGTTCTTTACTGTGCATATCTGTTAGCTGGTTTTTAAAACAAAATTTTTTAAAACTATTTGCTGCCACCTCATTAATGTGTTCTAAATAGTAAAATAACACAAGATTCAAAATAGTTTTAAATAAAAAATATTTTTTTAAATATACTTAGGTCTGTAGCAAATAGACCTTGGAACATTAAACGGGTCCCTAATATTAATTGAAAAAAAATT